ACCACTTGCCAACCAGATGAAATAGATTGGTGACGTCAATACGGCATTTCGTAAATTACTGCATATTCTTTTTAGTAAATGTCATTGTCATTTGATTTGGGGTTATAATTTTATCAGGGGTGGATGGGAAAACGGGAAAATTTCCGGTGGGCCGGTCCCGATCAGAGCTAAAAAAAGATTGGATTAGCAAATTAAATGGTTAATCTTCTAACTAAAGTGACGTAAGATCATTAGTGATCCATAACTAACTAATTAATTTGCATCAGTATAATCGTCAGTTGCTTTTAAACATAAACACCAATTTGTAAAATAACTATTGTAAAATTTCTTTCTCTGGGACACTTATTATTTTAATAATCACCTGTTGTTTGTTCGGTTTGAAAATTTTTATTATACAAGATGAGTCTATAAGTGCAAATATTTTCAGGGCTGGTAGATTTCAATAAAATAAACATAACATATTCTCTTTATCCAGGTTCAAATAAGTCCAATCGAGTTATTAAGTCTGGAAATTTAAAAAAAAATAGATTTATTTTTAAAAAAATTTGAGGCGCCCAATTTTGCATGGCGGCATTTGCATCTCTTTTAGTACCGTAATATCAGAGATTAAGAAACTATACCGTGGGAAAATTTGCGGTGAACAAGAAGTTCTAAAAAGTTTTCTAAAATGTACAGGAAAGTTTAAAAGAAAATGCTCGATTTTTAACATCTTTTTTTACAAAAAAAACTCTTAGACGTGTTCCTGGGGTCGAGATATACCACCCCTAAAAATATTTGCACTTATTTAAGACTCACCCTGTATAGTTTTACCCACTATTCTTTTATTAATAACTAATAAATATGACTGACTGGTAGCAAAAAAAAAGAATGAATAGCATTAGGTAAATTTAAATAGTCTCAATCTAAATGTATACTAAGAACACGGTAGCGTAGATTGACAAAGGTGGCTCGGTGCAATATTTTTCGACCTCCACTTTGTAAAAATGTAGACGAATTTGACGCGAACTCTGCGGTTGACATATGTATGCTTGGCTTGAATTGGGGACGGACTAAAAGCCAAGTCTGAGATCTAAAAGCTAAGTCGAAATTGTTGTTTAAAATGTTGCTAAAATAAATTTGCTAAAAAATTACTGAGGCAGCAGAGAAGAGTTAAATAAAGTTTAAACTAGATTAGATAATAAAATATTAATATGTCTAGTTACATGTGGCCATTTCCGCCACACCTGCAACCGCACCGAAGATGTTCCCATGAGACCTGCTCGCTGATTATGCTTTTATTGATAAGTTTTCTTTTTAAGTTAATGTTCATTATAAATTCATTCTTTTGTCTGATTTCGTACGTACAACATTCAAGCTGTATACTTTTAAATAAATAATTTGTTTTTTAAAAAGACTTTTCTTCCGCCGAACAACATAATTGGCGCAGTCGGTAGGATACGTGCGACGGCATTTCTGTGTTTTTCGAGCATCTTTTCGGGCCAGTGTCGTTTCGTGGTTTCAACCCCTAAGCGCGTATCGAAGAAGAACCTCGACGGCAGCAAAGTGCAGCACCCACAACGAGTCGCAAAAGGATCGAGAAAGGAGAAGAAAACACCACAGCATCAAAACTGTAAGTGCCTTTTCCTTTTTGCCTCTCCGAACCCTCTGGTTAAGGTTTTTCGGTAGGGATAGTTAGGGCCAGTGCATAGCGCACACAATTTCGCAGCTCATTGGGAGCAGTAGTTTTAAGAAAAACGAAAAAAAGAATACATTAATTTATCGATTTAAAAAATAAATCAATAATCAATATACCTAATTGAAAAAATAATTTATCGATTTAAAAAAAAATAAATTATTATTCAATATAATAAAATTTTTATAATCAATACATAAATAATTACTTTATCTTTAGTTTTAAAATTAAGTTTATTTAAAAATACATGACCGAATTAGAAGAAATTATAGGAAAATTAGATAGTTTATCATTTTCTGTACAACAATCAAACAAAATCGCTTCTTCTTCTATACCATCTAAAAAAATGACTGAATCAAAGCTTAACTGGGAATTATTTAAATCCAAAATGGATAATAAACCGTACGATGGAGACAGTAGTACTCTCAATAAATTTATCAACAGATGTGAAAGTATTTTTAATAGTTACAAAAATTTAAATGATGCCCGAAGACCCACCACGAAAAGAAAACTCTGTAATCTTTTCGTCTTAAGGAGGGAGGAGTTACATGTGGCCATTTTTCCGCCACACCTGCAACCGCACCGAAGATGTTCCCATGAGACCTGCTGATCATGCTTTTATTGATAAGTTTTCTTTTTAAGTTAATGTTCATTATAAATTCATTCTTTTGTCTGATTTCGTACGTACAACATTCACGCTGTATACTTTTAAATAAATAATTGTTTTTTAAAAAGACTTTCCTTCCGTCTAACAACATAATTGTCTCGAAAATCCAAATGTTCTTATTATGGACTGTAACATAGCATTACATCAGAACACATTTATATCCACTGCTTAGGTATTGCCTAGGGTTTTTTCGTTTGATTCGTGGCATTATCATACAAGATGCCAAATGTAGAAAAGTATAGAGGAAAAAAGTTTCGTGATAAAAACTATACAATAACCTAAAAAATGCTGCAGTTTTAATGGCGACATTCAGTTCATTTCGTTAAAAACACATGTACACGAGGAGGTTGCTGCTGTAGCAGAAAAAAGAGAATTTCTTTTTACAATGTGTAAGAAAGTATATACCCGAAAAGCTAAAAGTAATGTATTTCACAGAGGATTGGGTCAGCTGAACTGAATGAATCAGGAAGTCTTAAAGTTTCTCAAAATCGTGACTCAAAATCGTAGCCTATTCAAGATCAAATTACCGTTATCGATAATGGAAATAAAGCAGTAGAACCCTGTAAAACTGAGCCATTTTGCAGTAAAAATTCAGATGTCCGACCCAATATTGGTCTTTAAAGAAAATTTTGATCATTACAATTTTTTTAAACCGGAGGCAAAAGAGCTTTTTCGCACGAACGAAAAACACCCTTACTTATATATTAATAAATAAAATATATGTTTCTTCGTTATGGTCATTTTGTTTTTGTGGATTTGGGCCGGTTGCCTATTTTTCCCGGGCCGGTTTCCACTTCCCCATCCACCCCTGAATTGAACAAAATTCAATCTTTTTTATTGCTAAAATGCCTCAAAGATTTAACCAAAACGAACAAGAGCTCATTGCTAACCTTATAAATTATTTTCTCTGGAAAGAGCCGCTGGTAGAACACTCTTTCCTGTGGACGCCGTATATGAGATAGGTACAAGGTGTAATATTCCTATGTAAAATACAAATTGATAGCGTTTTTAAATAGAATGGCGAGTTGCTGATGCTTTAGAAATAGGAAATAGGAATTTCAACAGTCCAAAGGATTGGAATTAAAAGTATCGTAACTGATATAAAGAAAAAATGAATAAATGCCGAAAAAAACGGAACTCGCTCAAGCAATAATATAGGAACGTACTTAAAATTTTCTAAACAATATGAACTGATCTCAGACACATCCTAAAACTTATATTTGACAAATAATGATGACGTCACAGTGAACGATGGCTGAACAGTCTTTACTTTAGTATCTATAGTTTCTAGATCTATACTTTTAGTTATACATGTATTTGCTAGGTCGGTACTCTGGATAATGTGAGCTAATTTCTAGTATAATGGCATATAATCAAAAATATAATGAAGATAGATACCTATAGTTTTGCCGCATAATATCCGAGAAAAAATAATACAGAGAGAAGACCAGGCTACTAGTAACATATCAAGTTGCCGGACGAATTTACGTTTACCCGTTTTGCGTTCGTACTCGAGATTCACTGCCGGCTAGTCGGCTGGTCAGGCAGTACGCAGTTGCAGTTGCGCTTGGACGGGTCGGTCGTGGCAGACTAGGAATACGACGTGAGGAGTGCCGAGTATTTATTATTTTCATTTTAAGTGTTTACCTTCACTTAAGGTAACATTTAAAATGAAAATACTTAAATATTTATTATTTGAGTGTGTTTACAAGCTAAAACTAAAAATAAATAAATTCTCTAAACCCAAAAAACTAAAATGTTACTCTAAAAAAAAAAAAAGGTTATAAGTGTTCAAAAGACCATCTTCTTGTGCTAGACAGAAGCCTAGGCGGTCGTAAAATCCCCGTCTGACATTGGCTAACATATTAGGGCTAATAGTTTGGAAAGCCTCTCGTATTTTTACTTGAAGCTCATCCAGATTATTAGCCCTATTATGACCATACACTTTGGATTTTACATAACCCCACAAAAATAAATCATTGGGAGAAAGATCTGGTGATCTAGCGGGCCACAAAATAGTTCCATATCCACTAAGTAAACGGTTGGGAAAAGTATTGTTCAAATATTCTTGAACAATACGGGCATTGTGGGCAGGACCACCTCAGCAATTTGATTACTTGAAAACGTGCGATTTTGATCCGCGGTAGCACAAATAAACACTTGCTTTAACTCCTGTTCTTCATTAATCAACACATCAGGCTTTTTGTGTTTTTGTGGGAACACGCACCCGCATGTATTTCAAAATTATTAATAACTCTTGATACAGTAGGTAAAGATGGAATTGGCCTGTTTCCAAAAGTTTGTGGAAAAATTGTTTGTATATCCCGATAAGACCTATTTTGGAAATACCATTTTACAATTTGAATTTTCTCACGAACTTCGTAAACATCCATTATTTTACTTAAAAAATAATTTTTATGGTGGTCCGGTCTGTATAATTGTTAAACATTTTAATTTTTGGTATGTTATTTAAAACATTAGATAAATACTGCATAACTAAAATATAATATACACGGTTTCTTTCGTCTTAAAAACGTTAGTATAAATAACAAATTTAAAGTAAAAAAGAACAAGACATAAAAATAAATGGTGGAAGAAAGTTTTCACGTTGTAAGTTGGTCTTCTTTCTTCTGGTTATAATATGTCTACTATAAAACTCACCTGGCTATTATTTTTGCGATTTCACAGAATATTCCGCAATTCTCGGCAAGGAACGATTGTGAGACAATTGAACACACTTGCGCCAATACACAATAGACCAATTTCGATACAATTCTACAAAATAAAATTCGTCAAATATGTCACAGCACAGGTGTTCAATTATAATTTCGGTTCTAGCTTTACTCTACAGCATGTGATTGTGTTTGCAAGATTGAGCCCCCCATTGTGTTTGCAAGAAAAACTTTTTTACTTTTAGCTTTTTGAGGAAAATGCATTCTTCACAAAAGTTTTTGCTTGTTCTAAAATAGTTAATGCCGTTTATACTTTTCCAATTATATATATGGTTGAATTTTTTCAATATAAAAAAGTTTCTCTTTTTGTAAAGAAAATCCCGTGACATACTGTAAGAATATCTTTGAATTTTTTTACACTTTATCGTGACTTATTTGAAATCTGTGTTAAACAATAAAACAGCAATACAGGGTGAGTCTTAAATAAGTTCAAATGTTTTTAGGAGTAGTAGATTTCGACTCCAGAAACACGATAATGAGTTTTTTTCGCCAAAAATGTTTTTGGAAATTTGGAATTTTTTGAAAAAAAACTTGAAAATTTGTTTACTTTTTAGTTAAAATACGTAATTTCTTGATAATATGGCAACATAGGTAGTAGATCACTAGAAAGACTACAAGAAAAATCCAGTGGTTTTAAAAATTTAAGCAAAAATTTTTTTTTTCGAAATTTTCAAAGTAAAACTGGATTATTTTGGATTTATTTCAAAAACGCTAAAGAGAAAATATGTTTCTTTTATCGGGATCTACCAACTCTGACAATATTTGCACTTATTTAAGACTCACTATATAGACAATAGAGATTTGCATACACGTTTTATATTTTATTATCTTTGAACATTTTAATTTAATTTTAGTTGATTATATGGGTGGTCCGAACTGTATTCCGGAAACTTTTGCAGCATATCCTGCAGATAAAAATAAATAAAAATGTTCGTATAGTCTATAAAATGAATAACTTTGAATTTTGACCGTTATTTTTTACCAACATGGCAAATATAAAATCCCTCTATCAAAAAAGTTACTGATATTCTTTAAGTATTCTTTAAATTGAGTGCCTGAACGAATCAGATAGGTAACTCTTTTTACTTACGTGAAATAGAAAAGGAAAATAATAAAACAAGTGACAGTTCTTCCTCTTCTTGCAAAAATCAACACGAAATGGCATAATTGTCAAAAGTAAAATGTCATCAGCTTTTGACATTTCTAAATATCAGACCAATTCCGTCTGTAATAGAACAGCCTCGGAGCGAGATTTATGACGTCACGCTAATTAGATACGGATTAATAAATATGTTTGAAATGGAAACATAATTATTCCTCGTATTTTTGGTTTGTATTTTAAAAATGATATAGTTTACATGAAATATACATAATATACAGTTAATAAATATAATATATACCTATTTATAGTAATAAATACTTTGGCAAATAAACTATGAACCATACAAATGCAGCAAATGTTTTACAATATACAAATAATGAATAGGTACATAAGATAATGGGTAAAATCAAAGAATATTATAGTTTTAAGAACTCTCGTGTGGAAGCTTTAATGATTTGTCATACGGTGGCGCTTTTGAACATAATCGAAGCCTGAAAATGCTAATATTTTAAATTTTGAGGACTACGCGCGGCGATATTTCGTACGGTGTTGCCAAACATATTTTATTTCTCGATATTTAAAAAAATATGTATTGATTATATATTTCGTATATTCAATAGTACATGAGGCATCCTAAGGCTATGAAAAAAAACGTAGCTATGAAAATAAAATTTTAGATTTTTAATTTTTTGTACCTTCTAATAAAAATTACTTCTATTCCAATAAAAAATTAACTAGTATGATTATGTGTTATCTGTGCTAGTATTAGGAAACTGGAGTAAATACGGAGAATATTAATTGTTCTCTAAGATGAGCACTACTAAGTAATTTTTAAAATTCGACCCATAAAGGGGGTGTAATTAGATAAAGGGATGTAATTATACAAAAAAAAATCTGTACCTACTAGGAGTATGAACTTTTGCACAGATGTGGCGCATTTGAACATTGATAAGCGATTTTGGAAATGTATAGCCTAAGGGTAGTGAAACTAGGGGTGAAATTTTGTACAAAAAGTGTTAGTTCTAGGAGTATGAAATTTTGTACAGAGTTTCCTTAAGTGACGAAAGTGAGTACCTAGAAGCTATTTTGACATTCATCCCTTAGAAATAAGGGATGAAAATTTGTACAAAAGGTTAAAATCGGTTTTAGAAGTATGAATTTTGCAGACGTTCCTTATGTAACATAATTTAGCATTAAGAAGCAATTTTTGGAAATTCGCCCTCTAAGGGTGTGAAATGAGGGGTTGAACGTTCTGGAACAATAAATTCTGTTCAAGGAATATGAGAATTTGCACAGAGGTTCCTTATGTAGCGTAATTGAATAATTAGAGTGATTTTTGGAATTCATTCCTTAAGGGGGTAAAACTAGGGGTGAAAATTTGTATAATTTTTTTATGTAAAATCCGTTCTAGGACTAGGAGTATGAAATTCTGTTCAGAGGTCCCTTAAATGATGAAAGTGAGTACCTAGAAGCGAATTTTAGGCGTGCATCCCCTAAAAAATAAGGGATGAAAATTTGTACAAAAATTTGTTAAAATCGGTTTTAGAAGTATGAATTTTGCAGACGTTCCTTATGTAACGTAATTTAGCACTAAGAAGCAATTTTTGGAAATTCGCGCCTCTAAGGGTGTGAAATGAGGGGTTGAACGTTCTGGAACAATAAATTCTGTTCAAGGAATATGAGAATTTGCACAGAGGTTCCTTATGTAGCGTAATTGAATAATTAGAGTGATTTTTGGAATTCATTCCTTAAGGGGTAAAACTAGGGGTGAAAATTTGTATAATTTTTATGTAAAATCCGTTCTAGGACTAGGAGTATGAAATTCTGTTCAGAGGTCCCTTAAATGATGAAAGTGAGTACCTAGAAGCGAATTTTAGGCATGCATCCCCTGAAAATAAGGGATGAAAATTTGTACAAAAATTTGTTAAAATCGGTTGTAGAAGTATGAATTTTGCAGACGTTCCTTATGTAACGTAATTTAGCACTAAGAAGCAATTTTTTGGAAATTCGCCCCTAAGGGTGTGAAATGAGGGGTTGAACGTTCTGGAACAATAAATTCTGTTCAAGGAATATGAGAATTTGCACAGAGGTTCCTTATGTAGCGTAATTGAATAATTAGAGTGATTTTTGGAGTTCATTCCTTAAGGGGGTAAAACTAGGGGTGAAAATATTTGTATAATTTTTTATGTAAAATCCGTTCTAGGACTAGGAGTATGAAATTCTGTTCAGAGGTCCCTTAAATGATGAAAGTGAGTACCTAGAAGCGAATTTTAGGCATGCATCCCCTAAAAAATAAGGGATGAAAATTTGTACAAAAATTTGTTAAAATCGGTTGTAGAAGTATGAATTTTGCAGACGTTCCTTATGTAACGTAATTTAGCACTAAGAAGCAATTTTTGGAAATTCGCCCTCTAAGGGTGTGAAATGAAGGGTTGAACGTTCTGGAACAATAAATTCTGTTCAAGGAATATGATGATGATTATATATGATGATTTGCACAGAGGTTTATTATGTAGCGTAGGTAATTGAATAATTAGAGCGATTTTTGGAATTCATTCCTTAAGGGGGTAAAACTAAGGGTAAAAATTTGTATAATTTTTATGTAAAATCCGTTCTAGGACTAGGAGTATGCAATTTTGTACAGAGGTCCCTTAAGTGATGAAAGTGTGTACCCAGAAGAAAATTTTGGACATGCACCCCCTAAAAAATAAGCACTCCCTATAAAACAATTAAAATAAAAAATTTGTCTAAAAAATAAAAAAAAAAGTTGGGGTGGGCCACTTTTATCACATAGGGGTATAAAAAATAGATAACAACCTAGAAATAGGTTGTGATCAAACCAAACCAAACCAGACCTACTGAATATACATATAAAATTTTATCAAAATCGGTCTAGCCGTTTCGGAGATGGTAACAAAAAATTAAAAAAAAACAACCCCTATTAAAATATAGGGGATGATGGTGAAACGGTGAAAATTTAGGGTTATTTGTATTTATTAAGGCCAACTAAAAAAATAAAAACATTTTTTCTTTTCAAAAAATAAAAAATGAGGGTGGGCTACCCTTACCACATAAGGGTATAAAAAATAGATAACAACCTATTCTTAGACGTACTGAATATACATATAAAATTTTATCAAAATCGGTCAAAGCCGTTTCACGGATGGTAACAAAAAATTAAAAAACAACCCCTATTAAAAAATAGGGGGATGATGGTAGAACGGTGAAAATTTTGGGTTCTTTGTATTTTTTAATGCAAAATAAAAAATAAAATATATATTTTTTCAAAATATAAAAAATGGGAATGGGCTACCCTTTCACTTAAGGGTATAAAAAATAGATAACAAACTATTTTCAGACCTACTCAATATACATAATAAAATTTCATCAAAATCGGCAAAACCGTTTCGGAAATGGTAACAAGAAACTTAAAAAAAAACAACCCCTATTAAAAAATAGGGGATGATGGTAGAACGGTGAAAATTTAGGGTTGTTTGTATTTTTAATGCCAAATAAAAAAAAATAAAATAATTTTTTTTTCAAAAAATAAAAAAAATGGGGGTGGGCTACCCTTACCACTTAAGGGTATAAAAAATAGATAACAAACTATTTTCAGACCTACACAATATACATAATAAAATGTCATCAAAATCGGCCAAGCCGTTTCGGAGATGGTATCAGAAAACAACCCCTATTAGAAAATAGGGATGATGGTAGAACGGTGAAAATTTAGGGTTGTTTGTATTTTTAATGCCAAATAAAAATTAAAATATTTTTTTTCAAAAAATAAAAAAATGGGGGTGGGCTACCCTTACCACTTAAGGGTATAAAAAATAGACAGCAAACTATTTTCAGACCTATTCAATATACATAATAAAATGTCATCAAAATCGGCCAAGCCGTTTCGGAGATGGTATCAAAAAAACAACCCCTATTAGAAAATAGGGGATGATGGTAGAACGGTGAAAATTTAGAGTTGTTTGTATTTTTAAGGCCAAATAAAAAAAATTATTTGTTTTTCCAAAAATAAAAAAATGAGGGTGGGCTACCCTCTCGGCTACCCTTATCACTTAAGGGTATAAGAATAGATAACAACCTATTCTTAGACGTACTGAATATACAAATAAAATTTTATCAAAATCGGTTAAGCCGTTTCTGGAGATGGTAACAAAAATCTTAAAAACAACCCTGTTAAAAAAATAGGGATGATGGTAGAACGGTGAAAATTTAGGGTTGTTTGTATTTTTTAATGACAAATAAAAAAATTAAAATATTTTTTTTCAAAAAAAAAAAAAATGGGGTGGGCTACCCTTATCACTTAAGGGTATAAAAACAGTTAACAACGTATTCTCAGACCTACTGAATATACATATAAAATTTCATCAAAATCGATCAAGCCGTTTCGAGAGATGGTAACAAAAATTAAAAAACATCCCCTATTAAAAAATAGGGGATGATAGAACGGTGAAAACTTAGGGTTGTTTGTATTTTTTAATGCCAAATAAAAAAAAAAAATTTTTTTTAAATAAAAAAAATGGGGGTGGGCTACTCTTATCACTTAAGGGTATAAAAAATATATAACAACCTGTTTTCAGACCTACTCAATATACTCATAAAATTTCATCAAAATCGGCTAAGCCGTTTCGGAGATGGCAACAAAAAAAAAATAAAAAACAACCCCTATTAAAAATAGGAGATGATAGCAGAACGGTGAAAATTTAGGGTTGTTTGTATTTCTTAATGCCAAATAAAAAAAATAAAAAACATTTTTTTCTTTTCAAAAACTAAAAAAAATGAGGGTGGGTTACCCTCTCGGCTAAAGGGTATAAAAATAGATAACAACTTATTCTTAGACGTACTGAATATACATATAAAATTTTATCAAAATCGGTTAAGCCGTTTCGGAGATGGTAACAAAAAATTAAAAAAACAACCCCTATTAAAAAATAGGGGATGAAAGTAGAACCGTGAAAATTTAGTGTTGTTTGTATTTTTTAATGCCAAATAAAAAAAATTAAAATATTGTTTTTTCACAAAATAAAAAATGGGGGTGGACTACCCTTATCATTTAAGGGTATAAAAATATATAACTACCTATTCTCAGACCTACTGAATATACATATAAAATTTCATCAAAATCGGTTAAGCCGTTTCGGAGGAGTACGGTAACCAAAACTGTAACACGGGAATTATATAAGATAATATTAATGTAAACTGCGGAGTGCGGAGAACGGAAAGACTGATTATAGCAATAGATAAAATTTAAAACTATTCAAGAAAGTACACACAAAACAAGGCAACGCCGCGCGTCTATTCGTTCAATTCCGAGCAAAATAGCGAGGCTCCACGAAGTTGGGCATTATATTTGCAAATAATACAATATCATAGAAAAAAAGGCGTCAGGGATAGCTATGAAATAAAGATCGCTGTCATTTTATATGTATAATGGTTTAAAAAAAACGTTTCGGCTAACATTATAGCCTTCATCAGTGTTGTGTCATATAAAAATATAGTGTCGAATATAATCCAAAAAATTGCATATAAAATATTCACACCAAACCAAACCACATAATGTTTACTGCAATTAATAAACTAATATAAACTTGTCAAAAGATGACCACATATTTTTTTAAAATTATTATTCTTAACACTAAAACTATCTACATTGACTATGGAGTACGATTTCAGCCATAGTCAAATATAAGGAATAATTATGTTAGCGTGAGGTCATAAATCTCGCTCCGAGGCTGTTCTATTAGAGACGGCATTGCGTCAGCATGGTCGCAAGTTGCTAACCTAATAAAATTAACACTAGAAAAGCCCGCGGGAACTGTCAAATTCAAAGTTATTCGTTTCACAGACTATATAAATAAATGTATGTCATAAAATGCGGAATCACAGAGATACAGGGTGTAGAAGTTTCATTTTTATTTCGATTTTTTCTAACCAGTTTCTGAAGTAATGTCAATATTTAGATAAAAATTGACGTCTGAGAATTTTTTGACATAAGAAATTTTATTTTGATGTCAATATGACTCCTATATGTAAGGGGCGCCACCTACAGGGGTTTTAACTATTTTAAAGAGTAATAACTTTTTGTCCGTACCTGTATAAAACTACCGAGTGAAAAAATATGCATTTCCGTGATCTTTTACGTAAAAAATGTCTTTTAGTGAAAATCGTTAGGAGTACCTAACCGTTCTCAAGATATTTAGAACGGAAATAATCAATACATGTCATTATTGACAAAAAATAAACACGTTGAGTAGTTATTTGACTGAAATGATAAATTTGGGAACTTTTTATTTTTTTAATTAATCACAATTTTTTCTTCTAAAAAATGATAATTTAACATGTTTAATTTATATCAATCACAACAGGTATTGATAATTTCGATTTCAAATATCTGGAGAATCATTACTCGTAGCGATTTTTACCAAGAGACCTTTTTTACGTAAAAACGTCGTAAATTTATATTTTTTTTATTAAGTCGTCTTATTCAGGTACGGATGAAAAGTTATTACTCTTCAAAGCAGTTAAAAATATGTAGGTGGCGCCCTCTATAAGTAGGAGTCATATTGACATCAAAATCAAATTTCTTGTGACAAAAAACTCCCAGACACCAAATTCCATCCAAATATCGACGTGACTTTAGAAATTATTTGAAAAAAATCGAAATAAAAATGAAATTTCTACAAACTCTATCTCCGAAACTAAGCATTTTAGGACATACATTTATACAAACTTTCTTACTTATTTTCATCTGCAGAATATGCTGTCAAAGTTTCCCGAATACAGTTCGGACCACCCTGTATAGTGCTATACTTACGGATTATTTATATTCTCTATGTCTGAATGTACATCTCTCTTAAAGAAACGCAATCTTTGATTTAAGCTAGACGGTAAATCATAGCTTATCCGAAAACCCCAGCCGTGAGCCAACAAAGTTGTGTAATTCAAAATATTATCTTTCCCATTTAATCTAAACTAGAAAATTTAAAATTTATATTAAGTATATTAGAAGGAAAATGCCGCATATTATATACTTACAAAGAACTTACTACTTTTCGTAAACAACACTTTCCTCTTTACACGTTTCTTCAACGAAAACTCGTAACTATCCACACAAAACACCATATAGAGTATCAACACTAAAATAAGTAGTTTTATTTTGAATTTTAGGACTTTTTTTAGGGACCACATCGTTTTGTTTCTGTTTAATTTGAAAAAAATTGTGGGTCACCATTCTGATGTGTGCGATCATTGCGTGACACCTTCTGTTTAATCAAGAATGCTCTAATTGAGACAGTTATGTCAGCAATCAGATGGTACTTATTTGTTGTTATAATATGGCTCGTGTATAATTTAGGTAGTAGTGGAGATGAAACCAAATATATATATATTAGTAGGTATATTGTAAAACTTATCTCATAATAATATGATATGCCCTCCGAAAACATACTAGTAAATATATCACTAAAAGTTTTACAATGTTTTATTTGTTAAATTTAGCGATTCGGATAAAACGGCTAATGAAAGAAATGTAATATAAATGGGTATACAAATATACATTAATACTAGGGTCAAGAAAGAACTATTACGAGTCTTGAAGGCAACCGTGTTTCTGTTAGACGAAAAATATCAGAAATAAACTATATAGCTAATAAGAGCTATAGTCTATAAAATGAATAACTTTGAATTTTGACCGTTATTTTTTACCAACATGGCAAATGTGGATTTTACATTTGCCTGGATTTTTACTCTGTCAAAAAAGTTACTGATATTCTTTAAACTGAGTGCCTGAACGAATCAGATAGGTAACTCTTTTTACTTTCGTGAAATAGAAAAGGAAAATAATAAAACAAGTGACAGTTCTTCCTCTTCTTGCAAAAATCAACACAAATTGTCATAATTGCCAAAAGTAAAATGTCATCAGCTTTTGACATTTCTAAATATCAGACCAATGCCGTCTCTAATAGAACAGCCTCGGAGCGAGATTGATGACGTCACGCTAGTTAGATACTACGGATTAATAAATATGTTGTAGAATACATGGAAAACAGGTATTCATGATACATTGTTATTGATACATGTTCATTCATAATAGTTTACATGAAATATACATAATATACAGTTAATAAATATAATACATATTCCTATTTATAGTAATAAATACTTTGGCAAATAAACTATGAACCACACAAATGCAGCAAATGTTTTACAATATACAACTAATGAATAGGTACATCAGATAATGGATAAAATGTAAAATATATTTTAAATTTTGTGGTTTGAAAATTGATCTAATTTAACAAAAAACATTCAATATCTACTAATAGTGATGTATTATTATTTGCATTCACAAAATGTATATGTATATTTGCAAGTATCAATGTTCGAAAAATTATATTTGCAAATAATACAATATCATAGAAAAACGGCGTCAGCGATGGCTATGAAATAAAGATCGCTGTCATTTTATATGTAAAATTATTCTAAAATTTTTGATTTTCTTGGGATTTTGGTTCGGGAAAAACACTGATTAAGTTTTCATTTGGTTTTTCATTATTTTTATTTGGTTTAAAAAACGTTTCGGGTAACATGATAGCCTTCATCAGTGTTGTGTCATATGAAAAAAATAGTGTCGAATATAATCCAAAAAACTACATATAAAATATTCACACCACACATCACATAATAATGTTTACTACAATTAATAAACTAATATAAACTTGTCAAAAAATGACCACATATTTTTTAAAATTATTATTCTTTTCACTAAAACTATCTACATTGACTATGAAGTGCGATTTCAGCCATAGTCAAGTGAGGCTGTTTTATTAGAGACGGCATTGCGTCAGCAGAGCCACAAGTTGCTAACCTAATAAAATTAACACTAGAAAAGCCCGCGGGAACTGTCAAATTCAAAGTTATTCGCTTCACAGACTATAGCAACGTTTTCGAGAAAGTATTTTAAGCCGTCTGGCTCTTTGATATATCTTTTACTATGCTCTTTCTGGAACAGCATGCGGCCCGTCTGGGCTCTGGCTGCCGATACCCGTTGCGTTCACTACTGCGCATCGGAAGAAGATCCTATATTTTTTAATAATTTAGTCCTATAAATTCTAGTATTGAATATAAATCCAACATATGTCTCCATAGCGCAGTGCGTAGAGTTTCCGACCACGAACCGATGATTCAGAGTTCGAATCCGGGTCAGGGCAAAGACATTTTTATTTTATTTTCGTTTATATTCTGATAGTAAAGTATTAAATAATTCTTAAGCTCTTATTCTAAAGCTCTTTTTAGAAAGCTTTCAGAAAGATCAAATCTATTTTTTCAAGGCAAATTTGAAATACGATATTTTTTTAAGCGTGAACGTGAAAAGTTGACATATGATATGTCATTCTATTCATCAGAGTGTCATTTTCTATCCAATAAAGTAAAAAAATACCGGGGGTGTCATCAAAAGTTGTACTGATTTCCGGTGAAACAGAAAGTGACCAAAAATAATTGAATACGTCAATCAATCATAATTTATGTCATATACTAATATACCAAATCTCGTTTTATTATCTGAAAAAATAAATAAATTATAGGAATGAGCCACTTTTGAGACGCACCCGGTATATAAAGAATGGTATGTTAAAGTGACTGTCTAACTGATAAATTGTTCCCTTGTCAAAAAGAGCGATACGAGATATATCTGATATGAATGTAAGAGACTCGTAAAAGGTAAATTCTAGGATATTTAGTCACTGTCACAGCAATTTCCTTCAAGAAAGGCATTTTTTATAGACATAAAAATATATTTTAGACAGAAGGACACCAAATGGACAAAAAACCATTTATAAAAGTCATATACATATAAATGATAATATACCATCACATAAAGCATCACTGGCGAAATAGGACATTGTAAATTATTTAAAATGTTAAAATAACGCGAATATATATTTTGGTTAAAAAATTTGATTTATTTAGGAATCAAATTTTTGAAGTGAAACTTTACACGCGGTGGGAAATCTAAAGGCCGTGACACACGAGGCCTGTACGATGTGCACAAATTCAAGGCCGTGACACACGAGACGCGAGAGAAAAAGTGGAACGACCGGAGGTTACGACGGAGTGTCACAACTCGGGCCCTATGTGAGCTAGGGGGTTGGAACTCGGAATGTAGATGAGGCTCGAAGAGCTCCATCTTTTCATGATATTTTGACGAATATATCATATACAAATCGAATTAAAAAATCTTCTGATTTAAATGAAATTTGATATGTTAATAGATTGGACCAAGACTAACCTAACCGTGTAGGACAGGTGTCACTGTGACAGTTAGTTTTGACATAAGGAACGTCAAGAGTTAATGTCATCCGACTGCGACCAAATTTGGTGGGTAGTGACCAAATGTTGGCGACGGCGACGACGCACACAGGCCCATGGCCGCGGCCGGCCCACCCTGCAAAGTTGGATACGATCGACGAGACGTTTCGTTTACCTCTTTATCAATGTGGGACTAACGATTTGATATTGATGCAAATGTGGGTCAATTTCGACATAATTGGGGACGGGCTACAGGATGACGCCCTCGACGCGACGTTTCGAACCGATGCCTCTAAATGGACGAATTCATTTTTTAATAATGGGTCGATTGGAACCAAACTCGGCACGTGAATAGATGTACCCGAATGGAGCCTTCAGACGGACGGACGGACGGACGGACGGAAAGACAGACAGACAGACAGACTGACAGACAGACAGACAGACAGACAGACAGACAGACAGACAGACAGACAGACAGACAGACAGACAGACAGACAGACAGACAGACAGACAGACAGACAGACAGACAGACAGACAGACAGACAGACAGACAGACAGACAGACAGACAGACAGACAGACAGACAGACAGACAGACAGACAGACAGACAGACAGACAGACAGACAGACAGACAGACAGACAGACAGACAGACAGACAGACAGACAGACAGACAGACAGACAGACAGACAGACAGACAGACAGACAGACAGACAGACAGACAGACAGACAGACAGACAGACAGACAGACAGACAGACAGACAGACAGACAGACAAAATATGCATACATAGTGCACACACAATTTTTTTTCTGTAGTTAATATATTATGTAGATTGGTGTTTACACCATTTAATGAAATATATTGTACCGCCTGTGATTATAGAGAACTATGATTTTTATCATTTTCGAAGTACTACTGCACATATTAAGATGTAACTTTATGAAACATTTATTATATTATTTTCATTTTCAAGGATAAAAACGACCACCAGTAGTACTCTTAATACAAAGTATCCTTGCAGGGCTTCTATGGAATTTTATACTATCAACAAGTTTGTAGTTACAAGAGTACTAAATTTCAAGAAAAACGGTTAATCAATGTTCTTAAAAATAAACAAAATTTATAATTTTCATTAACCCTTTCGAGAACTGTAACTTCTTCGGGAAGCATTTGAGAGCATATGTTTATAAGAACTTTTTGTTTTATTTTTATCTCGATTTTTATAAACTTATCTTTAGCCCACCCATTAACTTAGATGCACTACTTTTTGACACCCTGTATATATGAAATAAATATTGACCAAACAAACAATTTATTTCTCATTTTTCACAATTTATTTTCAATAGAGTTATACGGGGGTTTCAAATTTAAGATTAACGAGCTTTGTTCAATGACGGAAATTTATGGAAAATTAATTACAATAAAAAAATTACTTTTCATTATAAAAGTTAGCTTGATCATAAAACAGGGTAGGCATGATTTAAATCAAAATATTTAAATCATTAATTAAATTGTGATTTAAATCAAGTGATTTTTTTTTATTTTAATCATGTGATTTAAATAAAAAAAATCAGCTTTTTTAAAACTTTACAATAAATCGAAAAATATGTAACTGTAAAAGTTACAAATAAAATATTCCAAAAGTTATTTTCAAAATAAAAGTCCTTTCCAAATTTCTACCGACATTTCGATCTGCAGTAAGTACCGTATGATCGAATAAAAACGGCGTCAGCGATGGCTATGAAATGAAGATCGCTGTCATTTTGTATGTAAAATTAAATGGGGAATGTCATTGATGTTCATTTCCAAGCCAACTGGACTCCGTTTTTTTTTCGATCATACGGTACTTTACACTTTGACATTAGATAATACTAATTTCATTCACGACTTAAGACTATTAATGAGCAATAGTGTATTGTTTCATTGGGAGTAAAAATT